GCCGGAGCCGGGGGGGGGGGCGCAGCAGACCCAGGCAAGGTAGGACAAGAGATGGTGGGGGGGTCACATGTCCAAACAGCCACATGGCTGAGATCAGAGTGAGGCAAAGCAGCCTGCGAGCAAATGGTGAGGCAGCACTGGGGTCTTGGCCAGGAGGACCCAGCGAGCAGCTTCCTGATCACACAGCCCGCCGTTCTCTCCTAGCTACATGGTGTTCTATCGCCTATAGCCATTACTATTCTGTGTTTCTGTAAAGAGTATTTCTGGAAGTTGTAGTCCCCTATAACCGTTACGGTTCTGCATTTCTGTAGAGAGTAATGCTGGAAGTTGAAGTCCCCTATAGCTGGTACCATTCTGCATTCCTGTAGAGAGTATTGCTGGGAGTTGTAGTCCCCTATAGCCGTTACTATGCTGTGTTTCTGTATAAAGTAATCCTGGACGTTGTAGTCCCCTATATCTGTTACCATTCTGTGTTTCTGTAGAGAGTATTGCTGGGAGTTGTAGTCCCCTATAGCCGTTACCGTTTGGAAGTAGCTACAAATAGGTGGGAGAAGATCCCCTTGTACTTGCGTTTCTTGTGTGTGGACAATGGTTACGCTAACTGACACAGTTCATCAATTAAGCATTAGCAGATTAAGTTAGTAAGTAGCTACAAACAGGTGGGGGAAGATCCCTTTGTACTTGCGGTTCTTGTGTGTGGACAATGGGTATGTGAAGCCGGTATTTGTCACACTCTCCAGCTGTGTCTGTAGCACGCTATGTCTCTCTCAGAGTCACTTGCTCAACGTTCCACAACGATAGAACGCCGAGTGAGTGACTCACCTGTGCTTTTGAGGAGGAGCTACGGCCAGTGGGAGGAGTCGGCCGTGACGTCATGGACGGGACAGCGCGCCGCGGATACGGAGCTCCGGTCCGTGTAGGTCTGTGACAGCCACTGACTCTGAGTTAAGTCTGCTGCAGTCTCATTACAATATTCAGTGGCTATTCTTGGTCGCTGATGTCATTTCTTATGCTGTTTAAACTACATTATGTGGCCAAATATTTGTGGACACCTGACCATCACACCTACACTATATGGCCAAAAGTACATAGACAACCCTTTCATTGATGGAGTTGAGATGTTTCCAATATAGAATAGTGCTAATGCTAATATATACTAACACAGTTTAGACAATTATCTGCTTCAGTCTTGATGCAACTTTGGGGAAAACCCCTTTCTGCCCCCATGATTGTGTTCCTGGGCACAAACCAGGTCTATAAAGATATGGTTTGATCAGTTTAGAATAGAGGTACTCTAGAGGGAAGAGCCTGCACAGAGCCCTAACCTCAACCATACTATGCATTTTTTTGATAATTTTGGAAATTCTAATTGTGGGTCAAGTTTTCTCATTAAATTTTAGTACCTGACCTCACAAAATGTTTTTTTCCCTAACAAGCATAGATTCCCACATATACAGGAAAGGGAAGACCCTCTATTTTATTAAGATTGGGTATTAGGCATTTCCATAAAGTATTTAGATTTGGCATCTCCCTACACTATTGGGATGCTGCAGCACCTTATGATAGTTTTTGTATCATTAATTATTATTTTTTTAATTTGGTATTTTTTTTTCTTTTACTTTCAACAGGCATTAATAAATGATATCCAGACAATACAGCCCAGTGTAAGCAGCGTGAATGATGTTGGAGAGAATTTGATTAGCAAAGCTGAACCAAATTATTTGCCCAAGATGAAAGCTGAACTTAAAAATCTCAATGACCAGTGGGATCACATATGCAAACAGGTGTGTATTTAGTCTGTATTGTTAGTTAGCAATATTTATAAAGGGAATATATCACCATGGTATTAGTTTAGTATTTATACTTTGTGCAGCATTTCAGTTTCAATTAGTTTGCTCAGTGTTATTAAGATATCAACTTTTAGATATTAGAAAAATGTTTGTCCATAAGAGGAAACACAAAAGTCCTTTCACATCAGCACCATTGTAAAATAGTATTAGGCCTCATTCACACTGCTAAGAGTCAGCCCGTACAGGTCCGTGCGGCGTGCATGGGGGTATCAGGCCACTCCCGGGAAGGACAGGTGCTGCGTGTGATTGTGCGCAGCTCTATGTTCTTCTCTATGGGAGTATGCGGTCGTATGTTCCCCCGAGCTGCGCATCTGTGCAGGTGTTCTTACTCGTACGCAGACAGGATGGATCCGGATGTGCAGTTCAGGTGTGCGTACGGCAGCGTTCGGCCGCATACTCCCATAGAGAAGAACATACTGCTGCGTACAATCGCACGCAGCACCTGTCCTTCCTGGAAGAGGCCCAATACAGCCGTGCAGGTTGCACGGATCTGTACGGGCTGGCTCTTAGCAGTGTGAGGCCTTAGAATGCTCCTCTAGAAAGCATTATAATGGTAAGTCACCACAATGTTTCAGATGTTTTTCTTTCTCCCTGCAGAATTAAAGTCACTATGTATATGAATTGAGCTGTGTATAATGATGTGTGATAATCCATGTAGTCAGTTTTATGCAGACAGCTACTCACTCAGTTAATTATAGTGATCTGGAATTGTGCGTTTGATAGATTGTTATGCTATGAAGTTATGCTATGTGAATGAGAAAGGGTAACAAATATAAAATAAGTGTTATCCCAATGTGACTGCAAAACTGCAAATACACTTTAAATTTTTGTTGGCGGGGAAGGGGACTGTAGCCTATTAGCATATTTTGGCACATTTACCTAATTAAATGCTCCCTTGCAGCAATAGTACATTAATATTTCCCCTTAAAACTCTGTTGCCAAAACTGCCATCTTCCCTCAGTCTTCTTCCAGATCTGGGGTCTTCTGTCTTTTCTTTTGTCAGTGCCAGGATAACCTAACTCTTGTACAGATATTGGGATTGTACACTGAGCTGTGCATGGGTTGCTGCCAGTGTACGATAATTAAAAAGTTGCTAGCAGGCAGCAGAAAATATTTTATGGAAGAAGAGAGACATATTAAATTAAATAATTAATTTACAAATAATGTATAAATGTATAATAATAAATTAAATAAATAATAAATAAATTAGCCTGGGAAACTTCTTATAATGCTCTGTCGGTCATCTCTGACAGATTATATATATATAGTATATATATACACTTCAGCACTAATTTATTACAAGCGTTTGTTGAATTTTATGTTTAAAATGATGAATTCCTAAGAGACAATATAGTCATAAGCAAGCAATTTTCAAACATAAAAATAAAGTAATTTTATTAGCTTCAGTGGTTGAGCGTCAGTAATACATTCTGTATCTTGGTTACAATAGTTTTATGTTGCCAAGAGATGTACTGTAGCAGTTTAGAAGATACATTTATCTGTTTGTCCTTGAAGAAATATCTGTAAATGATTTCAAAAGGTATTTCCAGAAGTTAAGGCACATCTGGTCTGAACAAACAACATTTAGCATGTGTGTTTATGTGAGAACTGCTCCTGTTTATAGTCTATGCATTTGCTGTTTGGAATATATGAACACCCTGTCAACTTCTGTTTGTCCTAAATTACAACAAAACCTTCAGGAAATCTGTTTTACCATTTCATACAACCCTTACTTGGTCTGAAAGCTCTGCAAGTAAACTAAATGTACGTCTAAAGATGTACTAGTTATTGCAACTGTTATATTTTTCATCTGTCCTTGCCACCATCTAGCTTCCAGTTTATGTCTAATTTTTAGGCCCATACGAAAAAAGCAGCATTGAAAGGTGGCTTAGAGAAAACTGTAAGTCTCCGGAAGGATCTGTCTGAAATGCAAGAATGGATAACGCAAGCTGAAGAGGAATATTCTGAGAGGGACTTTGAGTACAAAACGCCGGAGGAACTTCAAAAGGCATTGGAAGAACTAAAGGTATTTGGTTTATATTCTTCATCTGGTGTTTTATTCCTCAACAGTTAACCTTGTGGGAATAAATATTTAGTGCAGTATGAAAACTGCACTACTGCCACTACTGCCCTCTCTTGAAAATCCTAGTTTTCTGACTGTCTTGCTGATCCAACGGCTACAGTATTTTTTGAGACATTAGGCTCAATTTATAAAGCTTTACACAAACATTAGGAGCTTTCTTTTGAGCCATGTGACTGTAATTTTCAAATTTTATTGGAATCAGCTGAAAATAACTATAATTATTTTGAAAATATGTATCCCTATCCTGGTATGTTAGCTTTTTGAATTAGGCAAATTGACTTCACACTCTGACTTACTAATTGGTGTGCTTGTTTTGGCTCAGTTACTTGGAAAGTATAGAAGCCAGGGAGCTGGTATTCTTAGAAAAAAAGGTCAGTATTTGCATTCCCTTAGTCTCTTAATCACCATTAGTATTTATCAGTCTTAAAGAGACTTTATCCTCTTTGTCATATTTTATATAAGTGAACATAGTTATTGCTAATACTAGAGAACTTGTGTATTATATACAGTATATGTTTGTGTACATGGGGGTTGCTGTATTTTCTCGCTATATGCATACTATCAGGAAATATTTTCAGTCTGGTACACCTCACTACTAGGAATGGGCTCGATGTTCAAGTCGAGCAAGGATTCAACTCGAACATCGGCAGTTTGTGTGCTTGGCGAACACACAAACTATCAGGGCATTCAGCTGGCTGTTTTTCCCATTGAGCTCCTCACAAGGCACTGTGCACTGCACCGCACAGATCAGGTGCAAGACTTTGCCCAATCAGAGGACAATACTCTGTAAGAGCCATGATTGGGCAAAGTCATAATGACTTTGCCCAATCACGGCTCACCTGTCAGATGCCTTGCAACTGTAAACAGTTGGGCGAAGCTAGCTAGCCGTCACCACTAGCTCTGCCCAATTGTTTATATTTTGCCAGCATCTGTTAGAATGCCATTCTGCAGCAGGAGTTCGTCGCGACCCCCCAGGGCGCGATATTTAAAGGCATTTTTCATTTTATTGTTTCAGTTTAAATGATGTTATACATGCTGCAAGCATATGGTGTATTTTGGAAGCCTCTGCAAATAGAACATTATAGCGACTCTGTCTTTTCAAAAGCTTTAAATAAAAGATCAAAGCTCCAACACTTCGGAGTAGTTTAGGAGCTTGACCCTGGTACCGGTGCCCACTACCCCACACACACACACACACTTTCCTATCTTCATGGCTTATCGTCATGATAAACTGCTAAATAATCAATAGGAATGCATGGTAGGTGAGAGGCTATAGGCAAGGTCTGTCACAACAAGGAAACTTTGCTGGTTCAATGTGCTGCAGGTATGGAGAGGCACTTCCATATATGCCTGTACTTTATACTGGCAGTTTTATTTGCTTGCAAATCCCATAATACCCATTCTGGCATAGCAGGCAATTGCTTTTGCTAAAATTGTTCACACAGCCTAAACTTTAGGAATTCAATGAAATTTGTGAACATTCAGCAATAAAATGGCTTTCCTTACCATTCAACATAGTAAAACCAGAGACATTTGATTTGTTTCTGTGAAATCTGCTTCAATTTTGTGCCTATATTCTTTGTTTTAGTGTCTAAATCACACAGTCTGTAGTAGACATTCCAGGGCCTATCCTGTTATCCCTTTGTTCACAACAGTTTTTTTTAGCAAGGAATCTGATATAAAAATTGCTACATTCTCTTAGGTACAAATCAGTATAGGAAATATTATCCTGAAAATGTGGCACATCAAGGAAGTATATAGTTACATAGTATTTGAGGTTGAATAAAGACACAGGTCCATCAAGTTCATCCTTTCTATGTCTGTTTGTGCATGTGTGTGTGTGTATATGAGTCCCTGTGTGCTCTAGTTTTCAAGAGTATCTTATGGTCACTGAGGAAGGTATCTAAATATTTTGTAATGATTCAGTATTCTCTGCTGATACCACTGCTTGTGGAAGAGAGTTCCAAAATGTAACTGCTCTAGCTGAAAAGAAGCCCCTACGCCCTTTGTGGTTAAATCTTTTCTCCACCAATTGTAGGTGATGGCCTCTAGTATTTTTTAGGGAGTTCACAGTAAAAGTTTTATTGCTGATGTTGCCATCACCACTAAATGTTTTGTACATCAAAATCATGTGTCCACTTAATTGTCTCACTTCCAGGGTGAACATGTTTACATTTAGCAATCTTGTCTTATAGTTTTAGCCCTCCAGCCCCTTAATTAGTTTTGTTGCCCTTCTCTGGACTCTCTCCAGCTCCAGGACATCCTTTCTGTGGATTGGTGACCAAAACTGAACCGCCTACTCAAGATGAGGCCGAACCAGTGATCTATAAAGTGGCAAAATGATTGCTTTGTCTCTAGAGTACATTTGTTTTTTAATGCATGACAGTACTTTGCTAGTTTTGTTTGCTGCAGCCTGGCATTGCATGCTATTGTTCAATCTGTAGTCGACTATGACCCCCAAATATTTTTCCATTTCTGACTTCCTTAGTGGAGTATCCATTATTGTGTATTCTTCTTGCCTATTTTTAACCCCAAAATGCATTACTTGACATTTTTCAACATTAAACCTTATCTGCCATGTAGTTGCCCACTCCCCTATTTTATCCAGGTCCTCCTGCAATGTTATAATGTCTAAGCTCGTGTCTATTACCCTCCCAATTTTAGTATCATCTGCAAACATAGAAACATGACTATTAACACCTTGCCCAATATCATTAATAAACAGGTTAAACAGTATTGGGCCTAGCACAGAACCATGAGGCATGCCACACTCGACCTTAGACCAATTTGAAAAATAGCAATTTACTGATACTCTCTGGACACGTTCCTGTAGCCAGTTCTCTTTCCATGTACACACCATTTCATCTATGCCCATAGATTTAAGTTTGTGTATTAAGCATGTATGTGGTACTGTGTCAAATGCTTTGGCAAAATCCAAGAACACCACACCCACCGGCCTTCCTCCATCCAGATCTCTACTCACCTCTTCATAGAAGGTTAGTAGGTTGGCCTGAATGGTGATTCACAAATCCATGCTGGTTATCACTTATTATACCATTGCCATGAACAAAATCCACTAAATAGTCCTTCATAATTCCCTTAAACAGTATGCATTCTATTGATGTTAGACTGACTGGTCTGTAGTTCCCAGGTTGGCATCTTGAACCTTTTTTGAATATTGGTACTACCGTAGCTTTACGCCAATCACTTGTTACTCTTCCAGTCAGTATGGAGTCCTTGCAAATGAGGAATAATGGTCTCACTATAACCTGGCTGAGTTCTTTAAGAACCCTAGGGTGCAGGTTACTGGTCCTAATGATTTATTTTTATTACGTTTTTCTAGTCTTTGTTGAACCCCGGCTACCGTCAACCACTCTGGTATCTTTGCACTAAGCTACTCACATTCTTATCTCCATTAAACTTGTCTTTTTGAGTGTATACTAAGGAGAAAAAATAATTGAATACCTCTGCCTTCTCCCTGTCATCTGTGATTAATATTCCATTCTCATATTTTTTTGGGCCTAGCTGCTCTTACCTTTTTTCTGTTGATATATTGGAATCATTTTTTGGGGTTCTTCTTACAGACTGTGGTGACATGTTATGTTATGATATGTTATGTAATCTATTTTAGCTGCCCAGATTTCACTTTTACATCTCCAATTGCAGTCTTTGTAGCTCTGGTATGCCAATGCAGTCCCCCCCATCTAATATTTTAAGAAACATAAAATCACATCAAAATTATTTGATGAGTAGATATGTGGAAAATCCTTTACTTACTTTATTTACTGCTAATTATTCCACTTAGCGCTTGGTAGGTTCACCATTTTTGTAAGAAAAGTCAAACTAGTGAGTATCCAGCCTGATGATTTTAAATGTATCCATTGTGTTATCCAACAAAGAGCCGAACAATTTATTATCATTATTTTTTTTTTCTTCTACAGACCTTCAGTCTCACACAGGTCAGTAACTGTGAACTGTAGCTGAAGGCAACTGATTAGCTATTGTATGCTTCAATGACTGTTTGCCTTTTCATGGGGAGTGTAATTATCAGCAGATAGCTAATTCTATTAGTAATAATAACTACTTGAAGAGAGAAACATCTTTTTGGGAATTTAGATTGTTCTTTAGAGATCTAAACAAATAAATCCTGAGTAAATTGAATGATTACCAGGGTGCAGTAATTGGATTTGCACAGATTTCACTACACAGCTATAAGACTGAAGTGCCAGAACCCACTATGCTGTATTTTTAGAAGGTGTTGGAAACCAGCAGTCTATGTGAAGGGCATGTATCTATCCAGAATACATAAAAAGTATTGTGGCTTTATAAAAAAGCAAACAAAGAAGTGTCATTAATTGTTTATGTGATTTTAAATACTGGCTGGGTAGTGTTAAAAGCTACTTGCTACTCTAATGCATGAATGACTATAAAACTGACTGCAAGAGTCGGCAAATTAGTTTACATGCCCAAAATAGAAGTGTCACACTTGCCAGGTTTTCAATGCCAGGTTTTCCCCTCTTTCCTAGGTACTTTGCTTCCACCCTATTGTAGGTCACAAGCGTGAAGCCAATCTGGTCTCAACCTCTCCTATTCAGAGCTAGTTCACCCGTTGCTCGGCATTCGAGCAACTTTTCTTCAAACTATCTGCCAGACCCCTGTGCTCCTAGTGATCTTACGTTGTGTTTCCTGAGATATCCAGTGACTCCAAGTTTCCCTGTACTTTCTTGGATATCCGTGCTTTCTATGATTCCCATGTTTCCAACTTTTGCCTTGTCTTTGTGTGTACCCCTGAGGATTCCCTGTTTGGTTGTGTGCCCTGCTTTTTTGTTCTCTGTATTCCTGTTATATTCCGAGTTTCCTGTGTTACACTGTGGATTTTGCATGAGTCCCTTCCTTGCTTTTACCTGCGTGCTGAGAGTTGTCTATATTGTTGGCACTGCTAT